GCCCTAGGCAAATTTTTACGCAAGACTTCTCTGGGAGATGATCAGACTGCCACCGCTGCCGCCGGCGCCGGCGCCACCAAAAAGGTTTCACGTCCGCTGGATTATGCTGCCAAGGCACTTGGCATTTTCAGAGCAGCAAAGAAGCGTGGTATCGAGCCGAGTTTGGGTCTGTATGCCAACCTCATTCGTACCGTTATGAATTCACACCCCTCCAGTAAGTTCGGATCAGTCAGTGGCTATCGCATGTTCGATCTCCTTTCTGACATCATCAATGACCTGGAACGGCGCTGGGCAGTGAACCCACCCTCTCGGGCCGATCTTCTCACCCGTGATGATTTCGACTTTGTGCATGCGGCCATGTCCTCGGCGCAGACGGAGGCCTCCTCGCTAGTGTTGCTCCAGCGTCTGTACAACCTGGTGCACCGCAACGGGGACAAACGGTTTCTCTTCTCTGACAGTATAGCCTCTCGTGACTTCTACACCCGCTACTGTTCCTCCTTCCTGATGCACTATCATCCGCCCACGAATACACCTGCGGCGTCTGCGGTGGAGACTACACGGACTCAGGCCTTTGTGGATCTCTATCGTGCACATCGTCAATCCATGCTGTCTAATCAGCGTATCTGCGGAATGTTTGTGCAAAAGATGAAAATCGCCATCACAAAGTGGAACCGTGAACTTGAGCAGTTGAGAGGTGAGCCAAGCGGTGCTGAGGCCTTGAAGCAGACGGCAGAAAAAACCTCCGACGTTGTCCTGACAGATCTCAGTCGAGCCAGCTCGCTGGCATTCATTGAATTGAGCAATATGCTGTTTGACTACGTTGCCGTTCTGACCAGACTGCCACCGAAACTGTCACAACCCTTTTCGGAGGCAATTTTGACCTTTTCTGTCTGTGGTAAGTACATCCTTTCCAAATCCTCTGGTTACCATAATGTTGTGTGAGCAAAACATACAGATTCCATTATTAATGCTTTGGGCATTCACCACGAAAAGGTTATTGAAAACCGTGGAGGGGTTTAGTTAGTAAAAAAAGGACGAAAATACCGTTTCATTTGGCCAACTGTCTGTTTTCTACGTTAAAACGGAAGGTTGTTCATAGCCGAAGGAGGAGGAGGCTAAAACCAGCAACAGTTTCAACAACCGCACGACCTTCAACGCGTTGAACATTCCTCAAAAGCCGTGGAGCATATTTGCGGCTTTTAATTCACAAGCTGCCTCTGGTTGTTTTGCTGTCTTTCCAATAGTTTAGTCAGGCTTCACAAGGTGGATAATTGTGGACCAAGCTCGCGCATATACGCAATCTGAATGTATAGCCTTACCGGCGGGCCACGAAGACAGAAACTGTCCGTAATACGGGTGACTTTGCGCTAAACCCTAGAAACATTAGGGTCAGGTTAGGGTTGGGATACGGGAGTTTAGCTCAAGACCACAGACGGGGGATGTTTTCCTATATCGGTACTCTGTCGTATTCCCATCTGCTCTGCTTATTGCTTATTACTCAGCCACTGACGCAGTTATACGATATACCAATGTTAGTTGATTGTGGAGTAGATTACCCTCCTAGCAGACAGGAGACGCCTCCCTAAACCTCAAGATGAGTTAGGTACTGAAGTACTGAGAACAGCAAATAGCACCACGCGACATAAAGGCATGGAAGAACTTGAGCTATGACTTAATAACGTTTCGTCAACCAACAAGATAACATAGCCTGGTGGATAGAATTGAGAGGGCGGAAACCAAGGCAGGCCCCGCTGTGCTCAAATATGTATTTATTCACGATAGCTTAATCTGCGATTCACACTCCTTGTTGAGGTTGAGAGTATATAAGTCCAGCGCTGACTTTAATCAGCGCCACTTCTGACTAATATTATCGTCAGTAATAGTACCATTATTACTATCACTCAGCTACACCGCTAGTTAGTTGTAGTAGAAAAGGCAGTATTTGTAGTAGCAGTACCAGCCTCGGTCTCCTTGAGTCTGTATCGACACCTGCTGAAGGTGAGTGAGGGTAGATAATGCGGTATTACCGGCGCAAAAGTCTACTGTCACTTAAGACTAAATTGGGCGATGTTCTGGCCTGCATTGGAGAAAGTGGTCTACGCCTGATCGCGTTCGGTCATCTCGACTCTGTCATGTCACCGGTTCAAGCGGGTTGAAGTTTCAGAGTGCGGTAGACGGTTGCGCGTCTCTGACTGCAGCCACCCTCTCTGCTCGTGAGCACATGATGAACTTCATCGAAATCGATGGCCAAACTACCATCATCACTCTGTCGTGGAGTTGGAGTGGG